ATGTGTAGCACCACAGTCAATTAATACTCTAGCAAATAACCAAGAATATTTAACATACCTATGATCAAGTCTGGATTGTTTTGAGCGTCCTGCAGAGAAATGTTGTGAATACGCCCCTAGGCCTACTACCGTCCACCATGACCTCTACTCGTCTAGCCAACACGACTCTGTGTACCACGCCCCTGACTGGGCTGACCAGACTACCTCGAAGACCCTGCACTACTCGTAGCAATCTCCCCCTGCTGAGCCTGTCCTCCTAAAACCACTGAGACCCGCCTGCTGGAACTGGAGGATACGGCATATAGCCACAGAATACTGGGGATAACCACCCTGAGAATATGGATCCTGGGGATATTGATACTGTCCTGGGGCATAAGGAACAACATCACCCTAATAGTAATAGGCACCACCTCGACCCATCTACCCGTAACTACCTGGACCAGGAATCTGCTGGATCGGTGCAGGTGGTGGCAAGAAAGTCTGCTGGGGCCTCTGCTGACTCTTGGGACAATTTGCAGCTCGATGTCCCATTTGCCTATAAGTAAAGCAACCACCGCTGCCTCGCCTACACTCACCAAAATGTCGATTATTACACCTGCGGCAAACTGGGGCCCTACCTCTACCAGCATTACCCTGTCTCTGGCCTCTAGCACCACTAGTAAACCTACCACCACGACCCTGACCAGTGGTGCTAAAACCACCGCTAGAAGAGCTAGAACTAGTGCCACCCCTCTTGAAGTTCTGGGTCCTACGAGGTCCGAGCGACGCCTGACCCTTACCTTTGTCATCTTTCCTCTGGTTACCGTCTTTCTCTTCCTCCTCACTCTCGCTTGGCATGTTTTCTGAATCCTCAATTCTCAACAGAATCTCATAAAACTCCTGGTAGGTGTCACAAAGGGTAGTGGTCGCCATCGAACGCCATTTCTTCTTAGTGCCTAACCGGAAACGACGAAGCATCTCCGTCAGATTGCCAGCAACATTCGGATGATAGCGAGACAGATCAATAAACCTCCGGTAGTACTCGTTTGCTGTCAACTTCCTCTATCTCAACTCAGTGAATTCTTGCTTTTTGCGGTCAATATACTCAGGAGGCATAAACCTTTTCCTGAACAACTCTCTGAATACATCCCAATCAGTCCTTTCTGCTGGAGACAACCGACGCACCTCATGCTCCCACCAGGATGCAAAATCCTTACCCCAAAACCACGATGTCGTCTCTACCCACTTCTCAACAGGGAGATTCCTCTGATTATGCAGAACACGAAAGGTCTTCTCAATATGTTTTAGCCACCGCTCCGCACCCTCAAAGCCCTCGTGGCCCTCGAATTTATCCAACTTTAGATTATACATAGTCTGCAGAGGAGTCCTCCGGGGAGGGCGGAGCGCCCGCTGAATAGCTGTAGCGATAGTTTCCCCCAGCTGAGCTACATCGGGGAAACCAGGCTCAGCCGAGCGACGTGGTTCCCGATGAGGCGACATAATTCTGACAAAAGACACCAAAACCATTAAAATACTCACTAAAGTACAGGACTGCCAAACCTAGGCTCTGATACCAAACTGACACACCCCGACCGAGATCAGGGTATGCTGGCCGTCACGTGGAAGTAACGTAACCATGTGCACAGTGCGGAAGCTAATAAAATAATAATAAAAGTACGAATAAATAAAAACTAGCTATACACAAAGTAAGAACATACATGTGCAAGCATAAGTGTGAAAAACAAAGTTCAGAGCACGGAAGACCTAGTGCAATCCGGGAGAAACAACGCTAAATAAACACACCCAAAGGTGGTCCTACACTGGTGATAATCTGTCAGATATGCTGGGAAAATCCTCGGGGGAGCCACCAAAAGTGCTAGCCAACTAAAACCTGGAGGGGCGCAAAACAGAAAGCGTGAATGGGCAAAAACAAAGCTTTTTAAAAACCGTTTCATAAACAAAGTTCTAACCCCTCGCCGTAATACCTGTATACTTCCCAGAAAGTATAATATACATATATATATATATAAGTCATGCTCAGAAATATGCCATGTTAAATGCCTCTAAATAGAATGCAAGTGCTCAGGAAATGTCAAATCAATGCCATGTAATCTGTCAGCCGGAGTCACCTAACGTGACCTGTACGGCTGAATCTAGAGCTCAAATCTCCATCTCACTAACTGTACCTGCACATGAGTTGGAACCACCTAAAGTGGTATGCTCGACAGGACTGGGTGTATAATAAGTACGCTCAAGTTACGATCACGTGAAGGCTGGGCGAATAATTGCGGGTCACCTACGAGTCGGAACCACCTAAAGTGGTCTGTACGACAAGACTGTGCACTTAACTTGGATCCAAGATGAGCGTGTGGTGCGGGAGGTGAACATCACGTGAAGGACTGTGCCCAACTCTGGGTGGGAGCACTAACATCGGGGGTGAGCTCTCTATTCATCTCATATCACTACTGAACATAAGCATAAACCATACTCACCTGGCACTTACCTGTGCGCCCGCAGCACCAACATACAAATATATATATGCTACTAATAATTCATAAACAAATGACAAATATAATGCATGGCATATAAACGTATAAACGTTTCAATTCATTTTCTGGGAAAAACATAAGTATATAGGTATATACAGAAAACCAAAAGCCCACTCACTGGTATGTAAAAGGGTCGTAACCCCTTTGCCTCGAGTGATCGCGCTCGTCCTCGGGATAGGTCTCACCTATATGCGAAACAATTATAAAAACGTTAATTTTAAAGCACATAACCAACATTACGAAATAACTTCTCATGCAATGCTCAAATGGGGTGTGTGAATACACCAACGTGATCTACTCAACCTCAGGAACATCCCCATATTTTTAGAAAAATTTTTCGACGCCGCACGCTTCGGCCAAGGCATGGCCACATGCGCCGTCCACGCGCAGGCACGTGCCTAGCACACTAACGGCGTTAAAATTCCGGCGCCGTTAGGAATATTCCGTTAAATCTAACTGATGCCTTTAAAGCCGTTAGGAATATTTCGTCCAAACTGACGGAATATTCCGTCATCTTCTCCGGCCAAACTCCGGCACCGTTGCCAGCGCCGGAAAACCAAGAAATCTTAAAACCTTGTATCTTCTTCGTTTTCAACCAAATTTCACAAAATTGGTACCAAAATGAAGCTTACAACAAGAGGAACAAATCCATACCACTTTCAAGCACTAAAACCCACGGAATCTAGCTGGGAAAACACCACCAACTCCGGCCAAACTTGTAACTCACGATCTCGACGTCCAAAACCTTCAAACGAACCACCCTGAGCCTCCTAAGGACCTCACCAAGCTTCCTACAAGCTTGAAATTCCCAAAAACACAAGAATTAACGTGTGCAGAAACAGTGACCAAATCGGGGGATCCCGAGTTCGACGTGAAAACGAAGGTATCTTTACCTGAAATGGGTATGGTTAAACTCCTAATGACCTCACGAGCACGAATATGTAATTTGTTCCCTCGATCTGTGAAGGTTTCAAGGGTTTTGGTTGTCGTCCGTACAAAGAGAATAGGAAAGGGAGAGAGAGAGTGCTCGGGATAGGGCATAGAGAATAGGGGAGAGTGTGAGGGTGTGTGTGTGGACCAAACTCCTCCAACTAAAGCCCAAAAATGACCACACAACGAAACAACCATGTTAGGGGCAAAATCGTCATTTCACCCCTACGGTACAAAAAGTCGGGGACGGGCTGTCACAGTTAATATTTCTGTCCCTCTTAGTATATGTAATTTGCAGGAATTTATACTTCTTATTACTTCTTTATCTTTTTCAATTAGTTGATTCCCTCTAGTACTAGACTAGAGTTTCCTTAACTATTGGTAAGGAGACATACTAAAAGGGGTTTTCATGAGATTAAAGATTTGTTGGGTCCAACGCCTTAATTAGCAATGAATGATTGTCTTTCGTTTCTAATGGCTCAATGAAAAATGTTTTAATTGGATTGAAAGCGTGTAATTAAAACAATACAATCTTCCCTAGATCTTATTCGACAATGTTGGCTCGTTGTTGAATCAACCTAATAAGTCCATAGTCATCCAAAGAGCCTAAGATAACTATAAAGTTGAAATTCAAAGGAATGCAAAAACCTTAGTAGTAGTAGTTACTTCCAATATTTGAAAAAAATTCGTTTTTGATATTGATTTGTTTTTCTCAAAACAAATAGTGGGAGTATCATATGCTACTAAACTAAAAGGAACACAATTAGTAGTAATATATGTCTCCAATATTTTGAAAATTGTTTTGATATTTATTTGTTTTGCGAAAACGAATAGTGGAGATATCATATGCTACTAATTTAATTTACTTTGGACTAGTTGTTGTAATAGGACACAATTTATTGTAATGTGAGTAAATAAATAAAATGATGAGACCTTAAAATCCCTCAACCAACATCCAATATTAAGTTGAAAGCGAAGAGGTGCTTTTGAACACTTCTTCGTGGCCTTCCACCATGGTAGGCTCCAATCATTTATGACTCATACACCGCCTTCACCCTATCATGGGGGAGTTCAAAGTATGTGCTTATACTCAGGAGGAGTCTATTTCAACATTTGATGTGGTGAAGGTAGGCAACGAGTATGGCCGATATCATATCATTGTGAGGTCATACTTGGACCCCTATTCGAACTGGCATGATGGGTCAAAACTTAACTAAGAGAAATGGTGCCAACATCATATCATTGTGAAGCATTGTTCTCTAGAGGCCAACTAGATGGGTAATCACAAGAGGTTGTTGTGAATGGGTAGTTCTACCCTCTCATTATTATTTTTGCTAGCCAACATTTATCATCATGAGGTGGGGTTGGTAATAGTGAGCCTCCCATAACTTGCTAGGAGCTTTCTTTGAAATCTCCCGGATTCCATCTTGAGGGATATGGGATTTGCCAAAAATAGTGGGTGGTGTCATTCAGTTTAAAGACCCGAATTGTTTGACTTAATCAATAATCAAACTAATTTATTTTATTGTTATGTATTTAGATATGGTTGGAAGCACACTATTAAAGATACTCGACCAGCATTGCCTTGAAGGGCACAATTTCCCATCATGGTACCATAATGTCAAGATTCTCCTAACTTTGGAGAAAATTGTTTACATACTAGACAAGGCTCCACCTCACATACCTCTTGGCCCTAAGGCCACTGAGGACGAGTGTGCTAAGTATGACAAGCATGTTGAGGATGATACACAAGCCAAGTGCTATCTGTTGGTTTCCATGAATGAGGAGCTACAGAGATAGCACGAGGGTGTGGACAGTGCATCCTCCATCATACTCCATTTTACGGAGTTATATGGTGAAGGGACGCATAACCGTCGCTTCAGCACTGTCAGTGAACTTGTGAAGACCAAAATGGTCAAGGGAGCCTCAGTGCATCAACATGTACTGAAGATGATTGAACTCAATAAACAACTGGAGAACATAGGTACTCCACTTGACGGGGAATTGGCCCAGGACTTCATCATGGCTTATCTTTGTGATTCGTTCTCCCAGTTCGTTATGAAGTACTACATGAACAAGATTGATAGCACTCTCCTTGAGTTACTAAACATGTTAGTAACCACTGAGAAGACTATGAAGAAAGAGAACGTTGTGGGGACTACAGCAGTAGCCTACAACAAGCCATCCACTTCCAAGGCTAAGTCGAAAGGCAAAGGCAAAGGAAAGGAGAAGAAGTCATCCACTCCTAAGGCCCAAGAAGGAGTGAAGAAGAAGAAGGAAAAAGAGCCCAAAGGGACCTAGCACCACTATGTAAAGGACGGGCATTGGAAGAGGAATTGCAGGCTATACCTTGCATCTCTGAAGGACAAGCCACAAAGTATGGTTTTTGTTCTTATCTTTAATTCTAATTGTTAGATCTTCTAATCTTTATATTTGATATAAAATGCTAATCACTTATGCAATTGTATGTAGGTGAAGGAGCCAAGTAGAAGATGGACGAGCAAAGAAAGGATGGAGTGAAGAGTTCGGCCATTATTTTTTTGCTAACTACTTAAGAAGTTTGTTAGGCACTTTAAAGACAGTCTTTAAACTTCCTTATTTTGCTAAGAACTTTTTATGTGGCTTCATATGATGGAAGACCCACTTTTGGTGCCTATATGAAGGTATATAATTAGTCTCTAATGTAAGAGCTAATTCTTTTGTATTGAACATTATGAATGTTTAACCTATCATTTCAATGTAATGTGATGAATGCCTTCTACTATATTTGTTCCTCAAAGTAGTGTTATGAATTGAATATGGTCTTGTTGTATTCTAGTTGAGATACAAGAAATGTATCACTTACATAATGCGATATCTAAACTTTGGATCTATCAATTAAGGATAGATCTTACATGTTGGCCATAGGTGGATACAATGAATCTTTAGATTTGGTTCCAATTGCCTACATATGAGTTCTATATGAATTGAGAAAGTCTAGAGATTCCTTTCTTGAATAAAAGGAAGATCACATTATAATGATGTGAATAATGCATAAGAAAAAGGTTTCTTATATGGTTATAACTTACTAAACCACAATAACCAAGATCACTCTTGGTTCAATTAGTAGTTTTGAACAACTAATTGGACATTCTTAAATTGTCTTAAGAAATGTCAAATATGTAAGTAAAACAAACCAAGAATCAAGTGTCTAAATCTATAAAAGGTTTAAAGCTACTCCACAATGTCCTTTACCCGTATACTTCAGAATTATACACTTTGAATGTATAATGTGATTTCTCATTATAGTCATGAGAAACAGTGGGAGTTGAGAAAAGGATATAAACTTGAATGTGATTGGTTCATAGTTGTCTAAAATTAATAGTACAATACTATACTTATTGAGCTTGTAATTTTAAATTGTTAAAGGTCTCAAGCTCTTCAAAGCGTTAAAATTCTATGTTGTGTAACATTCTAAGGATAATTTATGAATGTTGGTTTCACCAACCTAGCATAAAATGGTTATATGTGGGGAGTTGTCTATCATTCTCTTTTATGAGAACAAGCTAAGAATAAAGCAAATGAACAAGTTGTTTCATAAAGCAAATGAACAAGTTGATGAAACAAAAGGGAATAGTTTCAAAATGAGTCACAACATATTGTTTAACAAAAAGACAATCCGATTTCGGCACCTTTTGTAACTTTAATGCTCTATGTAGTTTTGATAAAGAATTAAATCAACCACCTAGGAGGTATGGTTGAAATCCTATATCCTTAGTAGGAGCCATGCTTCCACTAATGATTTGGATAATTCTTATATGACTACTTTAAAGGTCTTAGTATGACTAAAACTTGAAGTTATGGTGTTTGACACCATATAATTTAAATGAATGGACTTGATAAAACAAGTCACACATTTCAAATGGGATTACTTGAGAAGGAATTCTTTTATGTATGTTCGTTTAAATAACTTGTGTTAGCTAGAGTTGTTGATTGTCCCAAAACTGTTGAGACATCATCAATAAGCTAATGGATCTTAAAGATTGTCAATAGATCCAAGACAAGCTAGTGAGAGCTATATACATTCGAATCAAGAAATTCTAAACGTTAAGTGTTCCTTGAAGTTTCGAATGAATGCTTAGTTACAACAAGGTCAGTGGGAGTGATGTCATACTTTTGAACAACATGTTATGAATGAAGTCTATTTGATAGACTTAAAGAAAAATAGATGTTACTCAAAATGATAAATTGTGACACGATCAATTTTGAAGTACAGACTTAAAAATGGACTTAATGATACAGCAAGGCTATCTCAAGAATGTTATATAGGGAAATTGAATCTCAAACGTTGAAGATTTGAGAAAGTATTTCTATATATGATATCACAAAATCACAAAAGGGACACATGTATGGACTTGTGAGATGATGTCCAAAGGTGAATAACCATCGGGGTTGTAACTTTAAGATATTGCTATAGCCTAGGATCAGAACCATAGCAACTAATAAAGTATTATTACCTTTAAGAAAGGAATATTAGAGTGAGACTCTAGAAGCGTGCATTCACTTAGGTTATAAACCAAAGTGATAATAACCCATTTTAACAAATGAAACTTCAGGGTGGATTAAGTACTCATCATATGATTGTATTGTTAGTATGGTACTACAATGTTCTCAAGGTTGGAGCAAGGTCTGTATAAAGTATACAGACGAAATATATGTTGATGTATATTAAAGTTTTAGAAACTACTTCAAAAGGTGTTTCGAATAAACGGGGTTCATTTTGAACCAATGATTGAATCCAAACCATAAGGTTGTTAGTAGGATACTGCGACATAATGGGGCGATAGCTCAAGCCATGAAATCAAGATCTCATCAAAGTATTTGAACACAAGAAAGAGACAACATCAAATGTTTTGGAAACATTTAATAAGTAAATCCTTTTGAGTTAAAAGGGATTAATACATAACCTAGTTAACCTACGAGCTCAAGTTCACTCGACTAGCATCTATAAGATGCACTAGTGGGTGACTTTAGTGCAAGTGGGAGATTGTTGGAGATATGCCCTGAAAGTCAATCTTTGGAAGAAACCTTTCAAGACAATGTCTGTATGTATAGATGACTCTAATACAGGAACAGGCAAAGTCACTCATTAGGACTATCTCAATAAACGATATACATCCTAAATAGTGAATCCATGGACAATGGATCGATGGAAGAAGTAATCTAATGATGTTAGAATGTAGAAACCTTCTTCACATAACCTAATGTCCAAAAGGTTCCTGATCATAGGATTGTTAGAGGGATACCGACAATACATAGACCAGTACATACTACGTCACCTTCAAATGGAAGGATGGAAAGTCTCATGCCATTCGTGTAGTGACACTAAGACAAGTATGTAGGTGCTCATTATAGGAATGAGTTCACTGAATATAATCAAATGAGAGTACTTGCATGGTGGTCTACTCACATGTCAAACAAGTAACTTTATTGGTTGGAATAATGTAAGTAATCCTTTGACGTGAGACATCATAGTTGTTTTGGGGATGCGTTGCTGATCATTTGATAATGAGACGTGACCACATCTTATCTTGGATGTGTTTTATGCATTGTTGGGGTCAGTGATTTATTCTCAGTGGCATGTGAATGATCAAAAAGGGATCGCTAATCCTCGTTATGAGAGGATGAATACTTTTAGATATGATTCAGGAATCTTTGGCTGAAGTATCGAGTGTAATGATGGAAAGTGTTCTTATACGACTCAATAGAATCATATAACTTGATATAATCACATTAGGGGTTTGACATTAAGTATCCATACCCTAGTAATGTGGTTGTGAGTATTGTATTAGAGAAGGATCGAATTACGTTGTAATTCCAACTGAATAAGTTCTCCGAACAAATTCTACATTAGCTTGGGTAGCCATGACATATGATTAGATGTCACTCATGGCTTGTGGGTTCTTCTAGATGATCAAATAAGTAGTCATCAAAGAAGAAGGAGAATTAAAATTTAAGTTTTAATTCACTAAGTGATTGGATTAATACTAATCAATTAGATTGGTACCAATCACCTCACTGCCTTGCTAATTAGAACCTAAAATGATTGTACACCGAAACACTCTTGTGGTGAGACAACTAAAGGATGATGGAATTAATTAATTGGATTAATTAAGTGTTATGATTAATTAGAAAGTCTAAAGAAATCATAGAAGTGATGAAAGATCGTTTAGGACTTAAAGAAAAGTTCGGGTTCATTTGGACCCATTGGGCCAAACCCATTAGGTCCTTTTATTCAAGTGTAGAATGACTTGAGATGATAAAAGCCCAAAGCCCAAACCCAAACTAAGGGGCCGACCATTACTAAAGAAAGAAGAGAGAGAAAGAGTCAATTTGTTGACTCACTTCTTTGACATTTATAAAGTTAGTTTAATGAAAAAGTGTCATTAGGGTTTTGTGTGTTCTTTTCAACAAGAAGAGAAAACAAGTCTCTCTCTCTCTACCTACATACAAGGCCCGCCACCAAAAGGGAAAATTAACTAATATTCTTTTCTCCCTTTTGGTTATTCCAACATCCATCTCACTACACTAGTGGGTGTGGATCTTTAGAGGTCTTCTACCTTGGAGACTAAAGGAGAATCAAAGGAGTTCCAAATCTATCAAGATGGAGGAAGCAAGGAGGGAGGCTAGACTCAAGGAGTTCCAAGAATAAAGAGCTTGGAGGTGGTCCATCCTTGGTCTAAAGTCTAGATCAAGAGGTATAAAACTCAACCTTCACTTTGTTCTTCAATATTTTGTTTGATGCATCATATATGAACCTATGCTTCTTGAAGGGGATTTGCATGACTATAGCTTTGATAATATGTGATAATATGCTTCTGTTGCTTATGTATATAAATTTAGAATTGTATATGCATGCTAGTCACTTGAAATCCCACATAAGTCTCATTATTTCCCTTCAGTAGTTAGCTTATTAATTACTCGACATGCGCGCCACATGGGCTTGGTAGTTTTTAGGGTCAATAGAACTGCACAAATTAACTCTCAGATTTTCCTAGGTTCATTGAATTGGACTCAGTGACGCAATCAAATTATTCTCTCAAGTTCCCTAATTAAGAAAAGCATGGTAGAGATACATCACGAAGATCATTAAGTTCTGTGAAAATCATAAGCATTGACGAAGCATTCGTAACTATGAAAAGTATGATACTCCTGCCAAGAATTTAGTTAACGCAATCATGACTAGTGACTTTTACTACTCACAAATATAAGTTCATAACGATTAGGTAAAATTCCCTTATATTCTAGCATCAAATTCCTGC